AACAACATGGTGGCCATTGGTTTCAGAAGCATTCACCATGTTGGGGTCATACTGGTCTGGGGGTCCTCCCCCAGAATGTTTTAAATTTTTTGAATAAACTAAATGCTATTTCCTGCATTCTGGTGTATTTTAACGGGTTGATAAACATCTATGTTTAATTACATTAATAAACACTTTATTCAATAACTATTTTAGAGAGCTTGGCACAACTAAATGTAGCGCTAAGCTAGCGGCGTGTAGACGCGCTAGCTAAGATGCTACAGACGTAGCGCTCTGCTTTACACTACACAACCTGATAAACGCTTTGTACAAAATCAGTTTAGTGTTAACTGATTTTGTTGCATTGAATCATAAACGCAATAAACAGAATCCAAACCAAAATCCCAGAAACACCAAAAAAAAAAAAAAAAAAAATCATTTTCCAGGTGTGCTGAATTAAAATGTAGGTGTGCTTGAGCACCCACAATAAGAGGCTAAAACCATCACTAGATTTTATTTGTGCTTTTTTCCATGTCTCAACCAGAGCAGTTTAATTATAATTTCTGTCTCTCACTTTTCTCTGATGCAACCTACTAAATCTGTCACAATCCAGACAGTCAAGTCTGCAGAGGCTCTATAAAATAAACGAGGGGTTGATCCTCTGGGCCACTAGTTACTAGTTTCCCTTAATGACGGCTGCCAACCCACACGTCTTGCAGAGGGGAGTGGAAGAGTGGAGTGACCTGTTTCTCTATATTTGACAAGTTGACGGTTCAGGTGTTGTATAATTTGCGAATGTCACAGTTATTCCACTAACACAATCTGGAAATTAAATAAACGTGTGAAAAAGTAGCATTACAACCTCTCTCAATCGATGAAGGGATAGTTAAAATGTTTTGCCGTGGTGTTCTGTGAAAAGCTTGATTGTTCCATATTGTACTTGTTGATTTTGAACTTTAATTATTTTCTTTTAATTCTGACTGAGCTAGCTAGTCGAAGACCAAAGTGGATAAGGTCCTGTTTGTTTCAATGGAACAAAACTGTAAACTGTATTTGATTCATTTCGAGAACATTATGATTTTCTACAAGATATGCAAGTGTTACTGAAAGCTGCCTTTGTCCTGACTCAATGCAGACAACAGTTAAGCATTGTACACATGATGTTTAAAAAAACTCTTCCAGTGGATCAGGTGGTCGTCACGACTGAATCCTTTGACCCACTGAGGTAGAAGCTAAAAAGACTAAAAAACAAAGTAGAAAAACCATAAATGCATGAAATAACTGACTCTATCTGGATTATTTTCAAAAACCGACTGCTTGCAACCAATATATATTGATGGGTTTGTTTCCCTCAGAGGTGCAGTGACCCAGAATCACAAAGGCTTTTCCTCCTCCTGCTAGATTGTACCCACACCCAATCTTCTCCCTAAAGGTTCGGTGTAAAAAAGGAGGAGAAATTAAGGACAAGAGGAGGTGCTGCAGCTCCCTGTTCGCTTGTGCATGAGATGATCAACATTGTGAGGCTTTTATCTCCGTGTTCTTCTGGGAAATCTCGTTACACGAGGATGAGCAGTGGACATATATGATATTTTGTAAAAAGGTTTGGTGCATTAAAAGAAAAAACTTCTCAAAGCACTTGGGATTTCAGGGCAACCTGTGAAAACATCTGGTGCTTTAATAAAGCTGTAAAAGAGTGTATTTTTTTAGAAAGATGCTAATGCAGGGCCGGCCCAATCATCCATTGGGCCCTTAGCTAAATTTAGTTTGGGGGCCTCTATTTCTGTTAATAATGTGGATTACTGTGATCAACAGTCAGATGATCAGATTGTTCTCTATATAAACTCATTGCAACTCTGACAGCCCTGACATTATCATATAGTGGTGCTAAAAGTAACAAAACAAAACAAAAAAAACACCAGTATGCAAAGTATTTTACAGCAAAAGTGTCATCTGGTTTATCATCTTTGGTTCCAAAGAACTGCAACAGTAATGTTCTGAATAATTTGTAGTGCAATCTCAACAACAAACAGATAAAATAACTTAGATGCATAAAAATAAACTAAATTGTGCAAAAAAAAAAAAAGACAAAATTAACGAAAACAAAACCCAAATATCAAGGAAATACTTAAAGAACGTAAATGAACAATTACTTGAAACCACATAAAATGGTTTAAAAAAATCAATTTAAAGTTGAATAATTGGTTCTTAAAACTATATAAATGTATGCAACAATTTGCAAAAGATAAACTTAAAATATTAAATAGAATCATATAGAAATCATTACTTGGAAAAAAAAATCCATTTGGGGGGGAGGGGGTCAAAGCAGCCGCTTGGTTTGCTTATGCCTTGGGCCGGCCCTGCGCTAATGTATGAAAAGTAATTTAGAGTTTGTAAAATTGTCTGCAGTCATATCTGAACATGCATGCTACTTTAAAACATCTTCTGAGATGACTCTCAGCTACTACCACACCAAATTTCTGTTCTTTATCTTTAAAACTGACAGTATTTGTCTTTTCAAGTTGATTAACCGTGGCGGCCATCTTGAATCAACTTGACTAAACAATAATCAGTTTCAGATGTTCAGGCAATGATTACTTCCTGATAGATGTATTTATTTCATCCATTGATCCATGACATATTTAGCTAATAAACTCACGCAACTACGCGATCACCTGCCTATCACAGCAGATTTTCTTTGTGTTTCCAGTTATTTGTTACTTGCTTCCCACAGAAGCAGTAACAGATATCACTCTGGATAGATGAGTTGGTTGTGAATATGAGAGGATGAGCAGTTACCAGGGGGATGGGCCAGAGTGCTGCTGCTCGCTTTCACTCTCTGTCTTCTTGTCCTCCGTCCAGCACTGACGGCAACATCAGTCTATTCGCTCTCCAGCACATAAAACTCCATGTTTATATTTTTGGAATTAGAAAATCAGCGATTAGAACCTGAGCTTTTGGACTTTCCACCTGCTCCACATCGTCTATCCTCCTGCCCCACCTGCTCTGACAAAGAGAATTAGAAGGTAAAGTAATTCTTTGTTGATAGAACATGTTTTAATTGGACTGAAAGAGACACTTCTCTTGCAGGAAGTTTAACAGTGATCACTTTCATAACCAATCGTTGCAAACTTGAATAAAGCACTTTTAAACTCAGCTTTTATTAAAGTTTCAAAGATCCCAATATGCAATCCAACAAATTAACATGAGTAGAGGATTAGTACACGTCATGGGGCTTGATGCTTTACAAATATCTTCTTTCTTAGCATGCATTTAATAAATCTCCCTTTTAGTGGGCAACTTCAGTTGTAATTGAAACACTTGATGAATGTGTTTAGATGCACACAAATGAAAACAGCCAGAATTACTTAACACACAACACATTATTCAGTCCCATTATTCTAATGGCTGAAAATACAATGAGCCTTTAAGCTGATGATCGTTCACGAATGATAGCAGAGAGACGATGTTTGTTTTTTATGGCGTCCCACGTGATATCTGCGCTTTGATTTGTGAGGAAGTGAGAGCTGACCCAGAGCTGGTTTGATCCACAAATGCTCACTGAGCACAGCGAGAAGTGATTGTGTTGATCCGACACTCCGCAGGTCCACATCAGCTCATCCTGCACCGACGTGCCTTTACTTACAATGTTTTTTTTGTTTTTGCGTTACAACAAAAACTGTAGCCGTGAACATTTACAGTTAAGCTTCATTTGATTCATGTTTAATTTTAGAAGGAGGATTATGCAAAACATGCAGTATGATGTAATTTTATTGTATATTTTTTAATGGAACAGGAGTCGGATTCACCAATTCCGTCAAAAATGCAGCGCGATCACTCAGTTCAGATCTATCAGTTAGAAGCAACAGGAATTATACGGTATCCTTGTAAACAAATAAAGTGAATCAGTCAATCAACATTATTTCTATAGCAAGTTTTAAAAAAAACACAGGTGTAGCCAAAAGTGCTGTAGAATAAGACAAAAAATGAATTAAGACAATAAAAAAGAAACACATATACCAGGTTCACAGCAGGTGTGTTTTAAGGTGCTATACAAGACAAGATCACGTTGTGCTTTTTTCATTAGAACTGGAGGCCAAACTGAATGCCACCTAGAGGAAGTGAAAGATGCAACGTTTCTTCCTAAGATGCTCGTGTCCAAAAATCACAGCCTCTGTCTTGTCTGAGTTTAAAAGCAGAACATTTAGGGTCATCCAGGTTTTTATGTCTTTAGGACATGCTTGTAGTCTAAGAAACTGATTGGATTCATTGGGTTTCATGGACAAATATATCCGAGTATCATCAGCATAACAACGAGAATTTATCCCATGCTGTTTAATAACTTTACCTAATGGAAGTATATATAAAGAGTATTGGTCCAAGCACTGAACCCTGAGGAACTCCATGACTAACTTTGGTGTATGATTCATTACTTATGTTTACAAACTGGAATCTATCAGATAAATATGATTTAAACCAATTTAGAGCTGTTCCTGTAATCCCAATATCATAATCAAGTCTTTGTAATAGAATATTGTGATCAACTGTTTCAAATGCAGTGCTGAGGTTTAACAGGACCAGTATAGACACTTGTCCATTGTCAGAGGCCATGAGAATGTTATTAGTAACTTTCACCAGTGCTGTTTCTGTGCTATGATGGCTCTAAATCCTGACTGAAACTCTTCAAACAGATTATTTTGGTTCAGATAATATCACAATTGATTTGCAATTATTTTCTCCAAAATGTTTGAGATGAAAGTTAGATTAGATATAGGTTTATAATTGGCCCGAATTCCTGAATTAAGATCAGGCTTCTTAAGTAAAGGTTTAATTACAGCTATCTTAAAGCTCTGGTACATAACCATTTATTAGAGACAAATTAAGCAGATCCAAGACATGGTTATTAATTAAGGGAAATACCTCTTTAAACAATCTGGTTGGGATGGGATCTAGCAGACATGTTGCTGGTTTGGATGAAGCTATTATTTTTCACCATTCATATCAACATCTTTATACTTCCAGACATGGATGATGAATGTGGATTGTATCGACATGTGGACGTCCCAGACCACGTCCACTATATCGTCGCCTTCTTTGTCTTGGTGATTGGAGCAGTGGGGGTAACTGGGAACGCCTTGGTTATGTATGCTTTTTCATGGTAAGCAACTTTGCTCATATCCTCAAAATGTATATTTAGAGCATAATAAGGCATAAAGGTTTTATTACTAAAAGTGTCATACAAAGAGATTACTTGTTTTCAATGGATTTTATTCTTTATTGCCAAAAAGTGACTGAATTTTTTTAGGAGACTCAAGGGTCACACACACACACACAACAGGACTGGGTGAAAAAAATAAATTGTGGGTCCAACATGCTTTTTGCATTAGGTTGTGTATTTGAGGACGCACAACCATCTCAAATGACTCAACACTCAATAACATCTCATGTCACACTTGTTCAGTACACACAAACACACTCTAAACATAATCTGTAACATTTACTGTACTCTATTGCATTAAACTGTTAACTTTATATTATAAATACAATGATTGTGCTCTGTTACGTCTCATAAAATAAAATCATGTTCAAAATAAAATAAAAATAGGTTTTAAGGTAATGACATTTGATTTACTGATGTTTTTTTTGTAACAGCTGTCTTTAAAAACGGGATTTTTAAAATTAATTTCAATATGCCAAGACAAATTGACAGATATTTCTCATCACTATTATTATTTAAAAATTTTATACTATTGTCTCTGTTTTTTCTTTCTTTTTCCCCCTGTTGACTGAGTTATGTTAGCCACAAAAAAAGACAAAATTAATCAGAAAAAGACGAAAAAAATGGATTTACCGTAATTTCTGCTGTACCCGTCGTACCGCCAATAAGTCGCATCAGTCCAAATATGTCTAATAAAGTGGAAAAATCCATAAATATGTTGCTTCCCCATATAAATCGCATCTATTATGCGTCACCGCTGACGCATCGCGTTTGTTACGCGTCGCCGCTGACAACCCAGAAATGTGGGCCGGTGTTGTGCCAAAAATCGATGGGCTGCAAATGGCGGCCGCGGAAGCGTGCACAAGAGGACTTTAACAAGATTAACACTTAAAAACAATTATTTGTTTGCTTGAAATTATAGTAAAGGCGTGTCTCAGTCTAAGTTTTGCTTAATAAATGCACTTTGACGGTCAAATCAGCTGCATTTCAAAATCCGATTTGCGTAAGCGTGCATGAGCAGAGGGACGAGCCGCTGTTCATTTCTTCCAAATTTAACCCTTGTGTTATGTTAAGGGTCAATTTGACCCGTTTCAATTTTTGTGTTGATCAAAGTGCAGGTTATCCTTTCTTTTTTTCCATGAAATGTTGTGACTTTTTCTCCTCTAGGGTCATGAACTTCTATGTAAAATCTGGACTCTTTGATGTGTTGTTAAATGTCTGCACACAGTTTGTATACAAAGATGATGTTGCGGGTCATTTTGACCCGCACACAGAGTAGCTGTTAAAAATCCAAAAAAAAAGTCTTTGATGTACTTCATTTTGATTGCCTCTGAATAAACATTCAGAACCAGGTGTGTGTGGAAGAGGGACTTTCTCTCCCCTGTCCTTGTCACTGTTTCCATGCCCGTTCTTGGAGAAACACCAAAAATGAGCTCCAGACGATTTACAGCTGAAGAAGCTTTTTCGCAGCTTATGAACTGGGATAGTGATGTAGAGGAAGAGGTTTCAGAGACAGAGGATCCTTCAGAGCCAGAGGACAATGCCATTGATGATCCAGATTTTCAATTTTCCCATGATGAGGAGGATTCAGAGGACGAGTCTGCAGGTGTCCCTTCTTCAGATGAAAACCAAGAAATGCAACAATCGTCATCCACAGAGGGGACATGGACATCTAAAGATGGTAAAATAAAATGGTCAACATCACCACACCAAAGCCAAGGTAGATTGTCATCTTGTAATGTCATCAAAATGATTCCTGGTCCTACAAGATTTGCTGTCACAAGAGTTGATGATATTGAATCAGCATTTCAGCTCTTCATATCCCCACCCATAGAGAAGATAATCCTCAACATGACCAACTTGGAGGGGAAGCGTGTCTTTCAAGAGAAATGGAAGCCACTGGATCCGACTGACTTGCATGCTTACATTGGAATCCTGGTGTTAGCTGGCGTATACAGGTCAAAGGGTGAAGCAACTGCAAGTTTATGGAATGAAGAGAATGGAAGGCCAATCTTCCGAGCAACAATGTCTTTGGAGACATTTCACATGATCTCTCGTGTGATCCGATTTGACAACCGTGACACCAGAGCTGATCGACGTGAGAGAGACAAACTTGCAGCAATCAGAGATGTCTGGAATAAATGGGTCGAAATCCTGCCTTTATTGTATAATCCTGGCCCCCATGTTACTGTCGATGAGCGCCTCGTTCCATTCAGAGGACGCTGTCCATTCCGACAGTATATGCCAAACAAGCCTGCGAAATATGGCATCAAAATGTGGGCAGCCTGTGATGCAAAATCCAGTTATGTTTGGAACCTGCAAGTATATACTGGAAAGCCACCTGGAGGAAGACCTGAGAAGAATCAGGGAATGCGTGTGGTTTTGGAGATGACTGAAGGGCTGCAAGGTCATAACATTACATGTGACAACTTCTTTACATCCTACCGTCTTGGAGATGAACTTCAGAAGAGAAAGCTGACTATGTTGGGAACAGTCAGAAAAAATAAGCCAGAACTTCCCAGTGAGATTCTGAAGATGCAAGGAAGACCTCTGCATTCCTCAAAATTTGCTTTCACAGAGAAAACAACACTTGTTTCTTACTGCCCAAAAAGAAACAAGAATGTTCTTGTGATGAGCACAATGCACAAAGACGCATCTCTGAGCACACGAGAGGACATGAAACCGCAAATGATTCTGGATTACAACTCCACAAAAGGGGGAGTTGACAATCTTGACAAAGTCACAGCAACATATAGTTGTCAGCGCAAGACTGCCCGTTGGCCTTTGGTGGTTTTCTACAACATTTTGGATGTGTCTGCTTACAATGCCTATGTGCTGTGGATTGAGATCAACCAGCAGTGGAATGCCAGCAAACTGTACCGACGTCGACTTTTCCTGGAAGAACTAGGCAAAGCACTCGTCACTCCAAAGATCCAGAACCGGGTCAGGCCAGCTAGATCCCCAGCAGCTGCTGCTGTCATCGCAAAGGTCCAGGGCAGGGCATCTGACCAACCCACAATGGATCCTTTGGATACAGGTACAAAGAAACGCAAAAGATGCCAAGTCTGTCCCTCTCGAGATGACAGTAAAACAACTACCTCTTGTGTGAGATGCAAGAAATACATCTGCAAAAAGCACATAGTCACATTCTGTCCATCATGTGGGGAACGCTGAAAATGTTGACTGTCAAAAACCCGAGAAAATGCGGCAAGTTAAATGCAAAAAAAAAAAGGGTTCGTGAAGAGGGAAAAATTGAAATCAGGAGTTCTTTAATATAGTGTTGGAAGTGTATATCTCTACTTCTCATCTCTTCTAAATATTTGTATAATCTAAAATAAAGTTCTTATTGGTTTAACTTCATTTTATGACTGTTTTGAGTGGATTTACACAATGCGGGTCAAAATGACCCGCAACATAATAAACGTATTTTTTTCTCAACATAATACAAACACCTAAAAACAATTATTTATTTGCTCGACTTTATAGTAAAGGTGTGACTCAGTTGAACATTTGCTTAATAAAAGGAGTTTAACGCTCAAATCAGCTATATTTTGAAAGTATTCACTACCTCGGTGCTCCAGGAGTGCACAGAAAAAGAGCAAAAAAAGGAGGAACCCTGCTCGGTTCTTTGAAATTTAACAAGAAAAGCTCCTAAAACAATTATTTGTTTGCTCAAAATTATGGCAAAGGTGTGTCTCAGTTGAACTTTCACTTAATGAATACACTTGAATGGTCAAATTTGCTGCATTTCGCCGGGGCGGTGCAGTAAAATGAAGCTGAGGTAGCTCCAAGCAGCGAGCAGAACGAAGGTGGGGTTCTACGGCAAGCCGACTGTGTCATTAATAGCTGGCAAAGATTCTCAGTCCTCCCGGATATGGCAAATTCAAAAAAGTTCAAGACAAAAATAATAAAGTATAACGTAAAGCATAATAAATAAAATCCAGTTGTTTTTGACTTGAACTTTTTTGAATTTGTCATTAGCCACGTTTACCTATTACATGATACAACAGCATGCCTCAAAGCTACTACTACTCTGCTGCCATCAAGTGGCTGAAAGTGGTACTGCTCAATTCTTTTTTTTCCAGTCAGAATGAATGAAACCAGTCATATCTCAGCCAAAAATTGGTTTATAAATATGGGGAAAAAAAAATCCATAAATATGTTGCTTCGGTCTATAAGTTGCAGGACATGCAAATTATGCAAAAAACTTATAGGCTGAAAAATACAGTATTTAAAAATTGAGTCGGTATTTATTCTTGTTGCACGTGGCAGTCTTATCCATGGGACTATTCAGAATGAGAACAGACTTGTTTGTTTGGAGAAATATACTTTATGTACAGGTTTTGTATTCCCAGTAGTGTAAACCTTTCAGTGTTTCATTTATAGCTTTCAAATGAACATTAAATGTTTGGTTTTTTTGGATGACTTGGCACATCTGTACAACAATTTAGTTCATTTTTTTTATTTATTTTGACAGCTCAGACCTTTTAAACAGGGGTTCTGTAAATATAAACTTATGAACAATATCATTTTGTTTATCTGGTCAGAATTTAAATAATTCTCCAACCCGAGGTCAGCAACTTCTGAGCATAACTTCAAAAGATTTGAAATATCTTTTAAACATGTAAGAGCTAATTTATTTGTTTTTGTGGGATCTGTCTGATTTGAGATCTCAACGTGTTTCAGCAACAAGAAACTTCGAACTCCTCCAAACTTCTTCATCATGAACCTGGCTGTCAGTGACTTCCTCATGGCGATAACACAGTCACCGATTTTCTTCGTTAACTCTCTTTACAAAGGCTGGATCTTTGGAGAAATAGGTACTTTTGTCTCTTACAGTCATTTATAATGTGTGCATTAAAAATAAAAATGAAATATTAAGTTTTATCTTGTAGTACCCATTTTTGAGGAGACATTGTTTCCTGTTAAAACATCATGATTAATGAAACGTTTCTTTTTCTTCTTTAAACTCCACAGGTTGTAAAGTGTACGCTTTCTGCGGGGCTTTATTTGGCATCACCTCTATGATAAACCTTCTGGCTATCTCTATAGACCGTTACATTGTTATCACCAAACCCCTGCAGTCCATAGGATGGACCTCTGCCAGACGCACCTGCCTTATTATTGCACTGGTTTGGCTGTATTCATTTGCCTGGAGCCTTGCACCACTTTTGGGATGGAGTAAGTTGCTGAATACGTCTGCTTTAAATGACCACAACCTTAAACCATTTATATATTCTTCTTGTTGAACTTCTTTCTAAAGGTTCCTATATCCCAGAGGGTCTGATGACCTCATGTACCTGGGACTATGTGACGTCCACCCCGGCAAATAAAAGCTACACTCTGATGTTGTGCTGCTTTGTTTTCTTCATCCCTCTGGGCATCATATCCTACTGTTATTTGTGGATGTTTCTGACTATTCGTCACGCAAGCAGGTAAATACAGTATGCTGCACAGTACATGCTCGAATTCAAATCTGAAAATACTAATCCGAACGTTCAGAATAAGCTTTATTATCATTGTACCGAGATACAACAAGCAAATGTCCGTACAGTCGTTCAAAAGATGAGCGGAGAGCACGTAGCTGCTGCTGTGATAGCGCGGCCTTATCCTTTTCAGAATACATTTTTACATAGAAAAAGGGACAAAGCCATGCAATAGACAAAGCTTTTCCTTAGTTTACACATTTCCAGGAGAAACTGATAAGTCGGCGTGTTTCGAGGACAACCGGGGAGTCAGATTCAGATAATCCACAGTTGTTGATTTATTCAGGCAGACTATTTTTCTTGTCAGCCTTGAGTATTACTGATACTTTCAAGGTCCGAAATGACCAGATTAGGGTCCATTCTACTGGTCCGTGCTTATGAGCCTCTTCAAGGTGGTTTAATGCTGACGAGTCTCAAAGCTGCAGGTGGCCTGCGATTCAAATCACTTCCAACTTGTGGTTTAGCTCATAAATCAGCTGATTTTGAGTCCTCAAAGCACGAACCAAACCTTCACACAGGCAGCAGCCTGACGAGGGCCAAATTAGCTGCTACAGTCTTCTTTGTATGTTGATAAACCAGGATCCAGACTATTACAAAACAGGAAACCTGTTATAATAAATCCAATTATATGCAATCTCGGCGTCCTCGATCAACAGCAGAGGTAGACACATCACATTCCACTTCCCCAGAGATATATCCAACTGCACGTGTCGTCTGAGCAGATGAGGGTTCTCCAAGACCCTGTCGCTTTGTTGAAAAGATTTTGTCATTTGCGTCGAAAGTCCAGTTGATCAGATCCAAAACAGTAGTTTTCGTTTCGGAAGATGTGTAAAAATAGGAGCTACGATGCACAGATAGAGAGCAAAAAAACAAGAGGAGAACAGGGAGAGGGAAGAGAAAGCGTGCGCCTTGTTCCATGCATGGCCAGAGAAGACAAATAATTAAGCCCTAGCTCAAATTTCACAAAAGCAGTTTACAATTACTTAAAGCTCATTCATTGCAGAAACTATTGGTAAATCCTTTCAGTGTAACGATTGCGACTATTCCCAGATACAAGGACTGAAGTGAACGGATACCAAGACTCAAATACAGTTTACAGTATTTATTTACAAGTGCTGAATAGTCAAAGTGCCAGGTGGGGGAACTGGAGCCCTGGAAAGCAGAGGAGATGGTTAATGGTTTGTCAGCAGGGGATGATAATGCAGTTGCTGTTCTTTCCTTATGGTGAGGGTAGGAGTCAGTTAAGGGGAGAGCTGACCCAATGGTTCCAGGGCAAGGAAGGTGAACGTCGGAGTCTGGTTCCAGGGGATGCCTTCCAGTGGTAGGAAGGCATGGAGGCAGCTGAGGAGGCACAGGAGGGCTCGAGGTCCACAGAGAGAATAACAAACTGTTATTATTTAGTTTCATTCACAAAGTACTGGCTAGACTAGAACTACCATTAGTAGGTAATGCTCCAGCGCCTGCTGAATGCTCTCTGCAGCCTTTTATGCTCCTCCTGCTTGTCAAGCTGATGATCCACATTGCTGATTAGTGCTTCAGATGGCTGCAGGGAGCTGGCAGGGCAGAACTCCCACAGTCAGCATGATTACTTTTGTTGATATAAAACAGGAGTCCCCATATAGTCTTTTCTGGACTCCAGTCATTCATTCATTCAACCTTTATTTATACAGACTAGCCGCATTGAATAACGGGGACTCATTTACAAGAGGGACCTGTTCCAGACAGAACTTATAAAGTACAGACAATAACAACAGTAGACAATGACAACAATAAACCACAGTAAAAATGCAGGTAAAATAAGAGTCGTGTATAAAACAATAAACCAGGGCGCCTTAAAACACGATGAAATACTAAAAACAAGAACATATTTGCTTTGATTTTTCTATTGACGTTATCAAATGTTTGAAACCCCTTAAAGAAATCAATGTGGACAACTTCAGTTCCTGTTGCAGTCATTGTTAAATTTCAGAAGAATTAAATTATTCTTAGAATTGATTTAAACTATAGGAGGTGCAGCTTTTCCCTAACTTACAGTATTTCATTTTAAGAGGTCCAGCTTTAGCTTTTACAATATTTCCTTTTACCCCGTGCATCATTTCTACACTTTCTTGAAGTTTTTTTTTTCAATGCAGCTTTTTGAGCAATTCCTTTACGGTGGTACAACTTTTTTTTTTTTTTTTACAGGTTTTTGCCTATTTGCCCAGTAGTTTACAGTATTTTAGTATTCCAGCATTTACAGTAATTCCCACATCTGGCCCACAGTTTCTTTCTGCAGAGAGAAGCTGCCAGACCACAGAGAGGCCTAAAAAGACAATTTGATGAGTGAAGAAAACTCTTGCTGTCACTATAAGATAATTTCAGTTTATATATTCTGGACCTTTGCAAGAGAGAAAAAACACATTTTAGATATGAGACCACACATATAGAGCCATTCCAGTATCTTTTTTCCATTTAAACTATTAATTTTCAAACCACCCCCTACTTTCTCTGAGTTGGTGGTATACAGCATCCTCTCTGCTTCCGTTCTGTGTGTCCAAACAGAGAGATGGACCAGCTGGGCTCTCAGGTGAGGAAGTCCACCCTGATCCAACAGCTGTCTATTAGGACTGAATGGAAGCTGGCAAAGATCGCCTTTGTGGTCATCATTGTGTTTGTGCTTTCTTGGTCACCCTATGCATGCGTCACCCTCATCGCCTGGGCTGGGTAAATATACAGCAATTTCTTTTAGCTTCACTATTCATAAAACAGGTTTTTGAATGGTCACACATCAGTAGGATTTAGTTTAGTGGATCATTATCATTAAGCTATGTTCCACCTCATGTGGAATAATTTAAATGAATGAAATGCCCTTCACATTATTTATTCTTACATCTCTTTCAGATATGCAAGTATTCTCAACCCATACTCCAAAGCTGTCCCTGCTGTGATAGCAAAGGCATCAGCCATCTACAACCCTTTTATCTACGCCATTGTCCACTCCAAATACAGGTATGTGGAGTAAACTTAAGTTTTCAAAAAGGATTTCAAATGTTTTGGTGAAAGAGTGTAACTTTTCATCAGGGACACCCTGGCAGAAAAGGTCCCCTGTCTTCACTTCCTGGTCCAAAACCCCAGAAGGGGCTGCATATCGATGTCACACAGCAAGTCGTCCATCAGGGACATGGCGCTCAGCAGGCAGTCATCAGTGTCCAAAACACAGTTTCACAGAGTCTCCTCTGTGTCCACTGCAGACACAGTGAGTAAGAAATCAACATTTTAGACGTCAGACATTTTATTTTTGAAACGCACATCAGAGAACCACTCGAATGTGGAAGGGGAATAAAATGATCAATCCGTTTGGGATTTGCTGAGAGAGTTTATTTGATATTAATTAATCATCAGTTTATTCCATCCATCCATTATCTTTACCCACTTCTTCCTTTCTAGGTCTCTGGTGCTTAATTCTTGTATTCATATTATTACAGGACAGATAGATGGTTTGAAATGATGCTGTTCTTATGTTTCGTTTGTTTTTCGCAGCAGGTTTGCAGTGATGTGGAGCTGGATCCCATCGATCAGAACCACGGTCTAAAACTGAGTTGCTCTCTTGATACGTTAAAGGAAAGAGAAAATTATTCCTGAACTAAAAGGACAAAAGTAAAAGGGAGTCAAAGAAAAGAACGTATAATATATTTGATTGATTTAAAGGCCTGGGGCTCTATAATGTTAGACTCATAGTTTAGACTGCCATCCCCGAGCAGGGTTTTGGATATAATCACAATATGTCACCGCAGTTTATCCACAAAGTCCTTCAGCTTGGAGGAGAGTCAAAAAGTGAAGAGCAGCTGGCAGATTAAGAAGAGTTTAAATATGAAGAAACAACTTCAAAACTGATTAAAAAAAGATGATAAAGAGTCACAGTTTTATAGCTCAGTTGGGAAAGAGTGGATTGCTCTCTTCGAGTCGAGGGTGAGGTTCTGCTTCAAGTGGAGGAGTTCAAGTATCTCAGGGTTTTGTTCATGAGCGAGGGAAAAATTGAACCTGAGATTAGCAGACGGATTGGTGCAGCCTCTGCAGTAGTGAGGACTCTGGGCCGGTCCATTGTGGTGAAGAGTGAGCTGAGCTGTAAGGCAAAGCTCTCTGTTTATTGGTTAGTCTACGTTCCTACCCTCACCTATCGTCATAAACTCTGGGTAGTGACCAAAAGAACGAGATTACAGATACAAGCGGTTGAAACACGTTTCTTCTGCAGGGTAGCTGCACTCTCCCTAAGAGATGGGGTGAGAAGTTCAGTTATCCGAAGGAGACTTGGAGTAGAACCGCTGCTCCTCCACATCGAGAGGAGTCAGTTGAGGTGGTCCGAGCATCTGGTAAGGATGCTCCCTGGGCACCTCCCTAGGGAGATGCTTCGGGCATGTTCAACTTGGAAGAGACCCCTGGGAAGACCCAGGACACACTGGAGAGACTACATCCCTCAGTTGGCCTGGGACACCTTGGAATCCTCTCAGAAGAACCGGAAGAGGTGGCTGTGGAAAAAGATGTCTGGGCCTCCCTGCTCAAGCTGGAACAACAACAACAAGAAGAGGATGGATGGATGGATGGATGGATGGATGGATGGATGGATGGATGGAAGGAAGGAAACTGGTTTATGTGTTCTTCCCACTGGAGCGACCAAACTCAAAAGACAGCCAGTTGCTTCTGTTTGGGGGTTAATGTGAAGGTCAATAAATCAGACAGTAAAAGAACAGATGTTTACAACAACTGGATCACAAAACCAATACTGTCAGACCTTTTTTTCCTTCTTTGCAGCATTAAAGATTGTAAATATGTTTGTCTGTGTAAAATATAGGTTCAACGTTTGACTGAAACTACAAATGTACTCCCCCAAAACAGAGTAAATAATTCCCTTTTTTTATTTTATTGCTGTTAAAAGGTGTCAACACTTTCAGTCACACTTTTCATATTGGAACAAAAATGTTTGTGCACTAACACACATTTATAATGAAACTAATCAGTAATAAAAAAAATATGAACAACTTGACCTTTGATCTATGCCACAGCCATGAAGCAATTGTATATTAAAAACAAATGATGAAATCTTGACATATACATCATTATTTACTGTGAAAAGATGAAAAAGTGTCATTTTAGAAAGTTAATTTTGGTCTGAACGAGGGTGAGGTCACTTTTTATGCTTATTTTAAAACTAAAGTCACTATTTCATGTGAGAGTCCTGTGTATAACTATATGTCCTTTATGTTTACAATGTCTTTTAACAAAATGTGTTGATGTTTGTTAAATTTTTTACATGATTTGCTAACATCATGCACTAAACATGCACTATTGAAATTATGTTTTCAGTTATGTAGAGTTATGCAAATATACACCAAATGAAAGCTGCTTTTATTATTATTGTTACTTTTGTTATAAAATGTTTTTTTTCTGTAACTAAGGACTGTCATGTTTTACTTTTTAAAACGGAAGCTAAATGCGTGTAAATATGTGTCTTTTTTCAGCTATAAGTTACAGGTAAACTCAAGGACATGTATTTTCATCTGTTATGATACACATTGATCTATTTATTCTAACTTTCAGTATTTTAATGTTCTCAGGAACAAAAGCACCTTGGCAGAAACTGCTAATATAGTCATCATTTTGCTTTTTGGTGTATTTATGTTCATATAAATTAATAAATTATAATTTGCACTTGCATTCATTAAAAAAAGATCAAAACTTTCTTTACTGTATGATTTGTTTCAAATTATTATTGTTATTTTACTGCATCTATTTCTCCAGAGTAATTCAGAATTTTCACACACTACGGGTTCCAAAAGCAAAATTTATACAATATTTTTATACGAATGAAAACAGGGTCCGGATTTAATCTATAAGGAAATAATATAACATCCCACATGTATTTAATGTTTAATTAAAACAAGAGACTTTGTTCATCTGAGACACAGAAGCTGCCTGTCAATATTATTGATATATACAAGGTTAGATCACGCTGACATATCAATATATTCTTCGAAATCTAAAAATTCTCATTCCAGTATTTCAACCAGCAGCCAATAACCTAATGCAGCCTCACACAAGTGACTCCTACACTTCACTGATTTAATCACACTGCACAGGGGGGCTTTAACTGCTGGGCTCCAGGGAAGTTTGAGCAGTGCACAAAGATGCAAACATTTCAAAGCATATAACATCACTGCAAATAATCTATGCTCATGCAAATCATGAGATTAAAAATAAATCTGGCACAACCAAAAGGGACAACTCAAAGTATTTCCATCCCGTTGCAGCAAAAACATCTCATAATTTTAGAAGCAAATCAAACAAGAAACTATACAAACAATAACATTTTCAACTTAAAGTTTGCTCAGTAATTTCAGTGTTGGTGCATTTCCTTGCCTGAGTATCAATTTACGAGTATCTCAAACTAAAATCATTAGCTTGGTTGACAGAAAACAACAAAAAACAACAAAGATATGACTGACAGGTAAATCCAGACAGGATTACAACTCTAGCTCAAGGCTATGAATACTTTGGTGTCCAATATTATAGTGACTGAATCCAGTCTGCAGAAAAACAAACACTTCAACCTTCTGACCACTAGAGGGCAGACCAATATTACAACACTGAAATCTTGATTAACACAAAACTGCATCAAGGCAACACAACTGTGTAAGGAAAGTAAGTTTAATAAGTCAGTATAACACATAAACCTGCTTACATATTGTGAAAAATAAATGAAAAGGTTACATTTTAGAAATTCTTAAAGTAAAGTGAAACTGCTTTGAATGCAGGAGTTAGTTTTAATGCTTTACCTCATTGAGCATAACAACCTGCCAATAGTTTACAGTACAACAACATAACATGATGACATGTGACATGTCTGACATGTACGCTGATGTGACTTCTCTGTCTAATGATGCAACAATGGAAGGTCAGGTGTTTAAAAAGTCCTGTTGTAACGTCACACACGTTCTAACTTTCACTGCTGTGATCAGAAAGAATACATGTTTTTTTTATGAAGCGCCTTTTGAAACAGAGAGACAATATTCTGCTATTGACATAAAATTATTTTCAGCAAAGCAACATACCAAGAAAACTATTTTTTTCCCACCTTGAATGCATTAATTTGCTTGAATCCCTAAGATGAAATGCAACAGGTTCACATCAGCACACTCATTGTCCAAATAAAATAAAGTATTAAAGTATTAGTATTAAAGCTATGGATGCAGACTAACACATTTTCTTACATGTAAACAGTGTATATAGAAGTTTAATAAAAAAAAATAAAAAAATAATTTCAAATCTGCCAAATCTTTTCTTAGTGGTTTTAAATGGTCTTATGGTTCTTACTTTTATAAACAAATAAGTTGTATTGTGTGATTTGTGTATTGGAGGCCCATCATATATGTCTCTACTAGAAAAAAAGAAAAACTGTTGACCAAATATTGTTAGAGCAACACAGACCTGTAAAGTATAAACATATCATCACCACATTTGCCTCGGTACTGTTCTGTTCAAAGGTTTTATCTCATCGCACAGCTTTAAAATAAAACCTATAACTTTACACCAAAACATGCAGCTCAATCAGAAATAGTGTGCTATGACTTTTACTAGTAGCATGTCTCACAACATGGAAAACAGCAGCAAAAGAAAAAAGACTGAGAAGAAAACCCAGTATCCTTTGGAGCTCTAAAGATCAAGCACACCTCACAATAAAAACATGATTCAGTTTAAATGGATCACAAGAAGTTGGACTTTACGTGTCTGAACTGACATTTTCATATATTTTACGGTTTAGGTTTTGTAATTTTTATGGATTTTTCTTAAGAATGTTCAGCTAACACACTGTAAATATGGAATTATCAAAAATAAATGTCAGTTTTTTGGCTAACAAACTCCTCTTCCTCCATTAACTCATTACAGTGAGTGACCATGATCTTTTTAACTTATCCTATCTCCTACAATAAATACTACAGCAACAAAAATTCACAAGTGACCTTTTTCTGTCGCTCATGGATTAAGAATTAAGACCTGATTTTTAGTTTTCTTGCAGTGAGTGCTTCTTTGAGGTTTACTTTTCAGTCTGCCTTTTGTGTCTGCCTGCCTTTATTTGGCATTCATGGAATGCCAGAAACATTAAAAAAATCACTTGTGGGATCATTAGACTTCTGCAGCTCATGATTCAAGAAATTTAGGCCTGATTTTTAGTTTTTCCATTGTTACTGTTTATTTGAGGCTTACTTTTCAGTCTGCTTGTCAATAATATGGCAGAGCAATTGGAGAGTGCCAGAAATCTAAAATTTCACGTGTGACCATTTTCTGTTGTTTGTGGTTAGCTATAAGCCCTGTTCGCTTTTTGTGTGTGTGTGTGTGCAGCGACTGCTTCTTTGAAGCTTACTTTTCAGTCTGCCTTATTTGTCTGCCTGTCATTACCTCAGCAGTCAGAAAATGCCAGATAAATGTGCAGTTAACATGGTGACTCACAAGGCTGAGGCTTTAACTTTTTGTCTGATCTTGGTTCTCCTTGTACTTACAATCACATCAAAATGTAGATAGTTAGTTTGTTACCTTAGATCAGTGGTTCCCAAACTTTTTCTGCTGGCCCCCCTTTGGTTTATAAGAAAATTTCTGATCCCCAATCCCCAATTTTCCCCCGTCCCCCGTCAAAAATATTTCCATTATGCTAGTACAGTAGTCTCTCGCTACGTCGCAGTTCGTTTATCTCAAACTCATTCTATCACGGTTTTTCAAAACAAGATTGGACATGGCACACAATTGGCTGATTGACGGATGAGCCGCACAATCGGCATGGAATTTTTATTTAAAATTAATTATTTTAAAATATTTAGCACCTGCTGCACGTTTGTGCAGCCCATACTGCAGGATAAACTCCCTGCTGCAGCTGTTCACCTTGCAGAGCAGAGAAGTGGGCGTGGCCAAGAGCACTTGCAGATAGCAAAAAGCAGAGGAGGCAGGGAGCTGAAATCATGACATTCTGTGCTCTTTTAGATCTTTAGAGTTTAGAAACATTGTTTAAAATATTGCAAGAGTGAAGGGTTTAAAACACCTTTATAGACATATATACATATATGATTTATGTATAC